TTATTCAATTTTAGGTCTCCAGTAACCCACCTTGCACAGAACCAGTGTTCTCCAGTGACTGGTACAGTAACACAGCTTAAGCCAAGGGACAAATCTCAGCTGCTGGGCTGCACTTTGACCAGTGGCTGCTCAGTTGGGTTTCACACAGCACATTCCAGCGTGCCAAAGTGTTAATCCTCGAAGGCTTCTAGCATAGCAGCTACTGGATGCATATCTCACTTCTCTCGCTGCTCAGAGAAAACATTGCAATTTGATTTAATTGCTATGTTGACTTATAACAGTATGTTTGTACTGGATGCCTGCCAGCTCACATGCAACAGGTTGGCAAAATGTATTTCCTCAAAACAGCATGAGATGCAATGTAATAAGGAAAGCAATCTTTCAGCTGCCTCGGTTCTGGAGTTCGTTTGAACTCCTCTGACTTGGAAGCAATGCTACCAATTCAGAAGGATTACACCAGCCTAATTGATATGATAATCAGGCCTGGAGGCTGCACTTCCCAGGTACAACAGCCACACTGCAACTTCTTAAAGGGAATATAACTGCAGGAAATGAAAGCGATTAACAGTTGTTTGTATTATGGGGATTGTTTGGCCTGTTTAATATCCCTATCAAAAGATGCATTATTTGTTGAACAATCCTAAAAGGAAATCAAAGAGAAACTTGAAGAACGTTGCTAATCCTTTGTCACTGTAAGTATGACATCTAAAAGCCAGTAAAAAGCTGGGCTTTGCCAATTGAAACAAAAATCATCGAATCATAGAATCATTTAGGTTGGAAAAGACCCCTAAAACCATTGAGTCCAGCCACTAACACAGCACTGCCAAGCCCAGCTGTCACCCCAGCACACTGTGTTCAGCACTACACCACATCCCCAAGTGTCACCTCCACATCCCCAAGCGCCACTCTTAGCTTCCCATGGCCTTGGCTGCCACATTTCAGCCCAGGGGACAGCACCCATGTCTTTGAGCCAAAAGGTAGCTACAGGAACTTAACAGAAACAGAAAGGTGAGTGTGCTTGTTTCATCTCCATAGAGCACCAGCTTTGCCCTAGGCTGTGACTGCCCACTGGTTTTGTGGCTGGCGCTGGGATGGGTCAGGGCTCTGAAGGTGCAGGAACATGGAGATGCTCCCAGTGGGCAACATTATTTCGACAGCAGCAAGTTTCAGGAGGGACAGCAAGGGCAAAAGTTACAAAAAATGTGGTCAGCAGTGTTTGATAAGTTAATGAAGGAGACGACCAACTGTGATTCAAGGGCACTTCATTTTTTGACCCCAAAGTCTCCTCTGGCCTGGTATCACCCTCATGCTGATTGGTTCTCCTTCACTAAAGACTTTAACTTTGAACTTCATCTACTGAAAGAAACAGCCATGTGACTCTTACCAATACTGTATTGTGACTTATAATACCAGAAGAAAAGAAAAAAGATGTTAAAAATATCCAGTAAAATCTAAAGTTGGAACAGAACTGGCTTTTATCTGTTTCAGCCAAAAGCAAGTTCACAAGATACAGTAGTATTTCTTTGAATGGAACAAATAAACCTCAAAGATTTTATAATGAATACCCCTTCTGCACATTTGTACAAAGCAGTCTATAAAACTGGAAATGAGAGATGTCATTCTTAAACATAGACCACAGGACACTTTTCTCACAACTCCAGTAACTAGGTATCATTTTCTATTGGATCCTATTTGGCTTTTCCATAAGGAACTGTAAAAACCTCTCTCAAAATCCTGGCACCAGTGTGTGCAATAGGAATCCTAACACTGGCTCTGTTGGAGCAGAATTTCCCTCTTCAAGAATAAAGCCTTGGGAGGGAAAAAAATAGCATGTTGGTTTTGTGGCTCAGCCAGCTATTTAACTCCACAAGCTCACAGAAACAAAGGGGAACCAAATAAAACTAGAGAGCGTATGTTCCTTTTGGAGAAATGAGCCAAAACCCTTTGAAATTTATGGCTCTACCCATCCCTACCTGGTAAGTCATAGAGAAAGCTGCAACCGCAGATATCAGCAATCATGAAAATAGGTTTTATTATGCTGTATGTACAATACTAGTACAGTTAGACACACTAATCATGGGAGAAGGGAGGTTGCTATTTTTCTTCTGTCCCATATGGTAATAATTTTGCATGATTGAACTGTTATGAGCTAAATAAAACTACACATTAAGTGTAAGATACATTGCAAACACATTAAATCTTCCCTGGAGTTTTAGCAAATACGTGCTTTTTCTATCATGCATTTAGAATTAGTAAAGGAATCTACACTGGGCCATAGGATTTATAAATAGATTTGGCTTCCTCTGCAATACTTTATGGGCCATTATTTCAGAAATGAAGATGCAGAGCCACGAATAAATAAAATAATTGCAGCTGATCAGGCTTTATTTACTGCTATCACATTTCCCTGACTTCTATGCTTCCCTCCTCTCATTTGCTCCACTATCCTGAATCAATGACCAGATGAAGAGCTGTCAGTTAATGTCAAACACAGAGCATAAAAGATGCCAAAGGCTGATTCTGGTTTCCCCACTTCCAAATCCTGCCTGGGCCTTTCCAGAGCTGGCTTTCTCCCTGGATAAATTCCACGTGGAATTGGGAGGCTGGGAAAGGGCAGAGCCAGTCAGATGAGTTCTGCAGGGTCTCCACCAGTTCTCCAGGGAGCACATTTTGCTGTGACTCCCCTGTAGAAGTCACTGCCAAAGGTCTGGAGACCCCTACTGCCTCTTGTCCCGGGAAAGAACACCCAGCTTTGTGAAGCCTCAATCAAAAGGGTACCCTGTAGAAAAGAGAGACCACCAGAAACAGCCTGCAAAGTATCTAGGGAGTGAAGAAGATCCTACAAGAAGTCTCCTAGATTTAAAGCCTGGGGTTTTTTTTTTAATTATTTTTATTTCATTCTCGGCTGCTTATTTCTGTATAAAGAAATGATGCTGCAAACCTCTCCAAGAACATCAACCTCAGTCCACAAGGCGGTGAAAGAGGCCAATGGGACCAGATGCCAAAGGAACCAGGAAGATTTACACTGGGTGAGCATCTGGCTCCCTGTTCACCGTTATCAGAATGAAGACAAATGCTTGCAAACACCCTTATTCAAAATCACTAATGTGTTCAGTGATGCTCAGCACAACTGCAGCAGCATTGCTCCTGTAAGGTCTGCTGACTGGAAAAGCAGATGCTGAGTGCTTCTTCCAGGGGTATATGGGATGCAAAGAGCAGTGAGAAAACAGGGCACTGCTGCCCCTCAAATCAAGCAAAGGGAATGATTAAGACATCATTTTCTGTTGTTGTTCTAGTGGATGGTAGTAATTGCTTCTACACAGGAATGTGGCTACACTTCTATTGTCATCCATCATCCTGCTGAGGCTGTGTATAGCACAGTAGCAGTGGCAAACTTTTGATTTGACCTCATTAGCATTCCCAGAATTACAATGTCATACCAATGATAAAGACTGAGATTATCTGCATCTGAGAAAACAGAGAAGGAGCAAATCACACACTATGTAAAAAGCCAACAGTGCAACCACGACTCTGCCAAATACTTAAAGGCTGCTTGAAACCCCCTTGGTTCTTGATTTTGCACGTGGGACAAGACACAATTAGGAATTGTGCCTATATACATCAAACTTGCAGATAAAGGGGATGGGTTCATGCACCGGTGACCTGAAAATTTGGGGAGAGGACAGGAAGAGGAAGGACAGATGCTGGAGCAGATGCTCTCTGCTACCACCTTCCCTCTGACTTGTCAATATTGTCTGTGCTTCCTCCAACCTCTCCCAGGCAACCAGAGATCCACTGAAAACAAGGAAAAATTTGTGTGCAATTGGGAAATAACAAATTTGCACAAATGCCTTGTGCTGCCTGAAAGTTCATAGGATTTCCTTGTGATTCCCAGGACAGATGCACATAGGGAGGGTTCCTGCACAAACTTGGGTTGAGGGGAAGTGGGACCAATTCTTTGGCCCTTCTGCAAGTCAAACAAAATCAAGTCAAATCTGTACTTTTCTGAAATCAATCTATAGCAAAATCTATAGTGAAATGGGGAATTTCTGAGTCTCCAGCCAGCAGCTTCCCTCTGAGCTGTGCTCCCCACTACAGCTCTAACACAATGCCAACACATATTCCAAACCACTCATTCTCAGTTACTTTAGTCTTTTATGGACCATCGTAGAGAAAATTAACTGAACTTCCCTACAGTGGGAACAAAAGAAGGAAATGGATTTATTATTCCAGTCGTACCCTTGACACAGATACTGAGTAGCTTCATTAAACATTTTGCAGCCCTGAGCATCTTTGATGAACCCTCTACAATAAGCAGAGTCATTTTCCTTATTACAAAACAAACATACAGGTCAGGATTCAGGAGTCATTTGCATCTGCTTTGTATTTGAATAACTTATCTCAGTGGGATCTGGGCAGGCACAAATCAAGGCCACATAATCCTAGTCCTTCCCTTTCTCTCCAGAGTCATTACCTTGCAGTTCCACTCTTGGATAACCTCATTTTCACAGACTCAGCATAGCCACAGCCAAATGACTAATACAACCCTTTAACACAAACAACAATAAATCAACTGATTAAATTATAATTTATCAGACAAATACTATTTAGCTCTTCCCAAAGCTGTTCTGAACCACCTCTCTTGTCTGGCCATGTTCCAGAGGAGCACTGACACTAGATAAAGCTCAGACCTGTGCAGTGAGTTTACATAGGAAAGAAATGCTGAAAACGTCTTGTATTTATGATGGGAGATTTCACAGAGATCAGAGTGCATAACATTCCTGGCAAGACTGTAATGTCTCTGAAGCCTCCTCAGCATCTCTTCCAAAGACCAGTCTAGCAGAACGAGGTATCAACAGACCCCGAAGCTCCAGACTCGGCAACAAGCCTCAGGAATGAGACACGTTAACCTTGAGAGACACTACAGCAAACTTTTAACAGCTTAGAAAATGGCTATTCCACCCCATTTTCACTTAACAACACACACTTTTTTGACTTACTTCATTGGTTTGAACAATGCTTGTCCATAGTTCTGGAATGTCATGATCAGCTTCAGCTGGGTGCCTCCTGATTTCATCGCTGGGGGAAAAAAAACAAAACTGTTTTAAAATGCGACATGTGGATCTACTTAATTCAGCTTCCTTGAAACCAAATCATATCTATTTTGCTCTGTATTAGATGCAGCACAAAGCAGGGTAATCCTAACTGGACAACAGATTATTAAGAGTACAGGGAAGAACTTTGGGCTGCTGACCAGGACTAAACACGGATTGTACTTCCTGACACATCTTTGTCTTCTTCAACTGGCCACTGTGGGCTCCATAAGCACCCTGACTGAAAAGCACAGATAGGAACAGACCATTGGAGTCTTGTTTTCTCCATCTTCAGTTGCTCTTGGAGTTCCTTTTAACAAGGGACACACATTGGGAAAGGAGACGGGGTGCTTTCAAAGACATCTGCAGCTGGGATGTACAGTCCAATGCACAGCAGACATCTCCTTAATTAAAAGCACGAGCAGATACTGCAGCAATCTCTGATCTCTGCTGTGATTTTATTAATGGCTGCTGAGCAGTAGAGATATGTAAATTCACCTCCTCTATGCACAATGGATTTGTATCCAGCCCAGCTATTAACTTCAAGGGATCCCAAGGTGGTTCATACATGAGAGTGGAGCTGTGCAGCCTGGCTTGGCTGGGAGGGCAGGAGAGGACACATGGAGGCAGCAAGGACAGTGGCCCACACTGCACACTGAGGGCTATGCTCACCTCCCAGCTGGGAGATAACGGGAATTTAAGACTGATATCTATTCATACCAATCTGAAAAATTTGGACAAAACCACACCAACAGCCAGATTATAGTGTTTCTAAAGCTGGAGTGATTTTTCTATATGTATAAGAATTCACAAAAATGCATTTTAATTGATGATAAGGCTACTTAAAAAAAGATAAACATGTACTTTGGCAAACAGCTGCTTTTCTACTGCCTCATTCAAAAGTGCTCTGAATAAATGAAATGACCTATAGCCCAACTCCTTAGTGTACCTCTGTGTTGGGAGAGGCAGGGCATGACTGTCAGGGCTGTGTGGATGAGTCAGGCCTTTAGAGAGGCTTTCTACGAATCATCAGATAATCAATCCCTTTCTTTAGAGTTCTGACAAAACCCATGTCAACTGGAGAACTACATAAATGTCAGGTTATCTTGCTCTGTAAATTTTGGCTTAGAGTTGCCCTTGTTCCACCTATATAGCTTGTATTTTTTTTCTCTAAGCAATGCCATTGGCTGCACATCTTTTTAATTACTCGTCTCTGTGTCTTATCACGGATAGGTCATCAGCTCTCTTTCAGCACTTGTAATCTATACTTTTGCAACAAAATGCTATGCAAATCTGGTTAGTGTAATTATACTTCTGGAATAAAATCCCTCTTGCCTTGCTGTTTTGCTGATCCCAGCCTTCTCTTGCATTTCCAGTTTATCCCAAAGGAACAAATAAATAATTAGAAATTAAAGGGCATTAAGCAATTTGAATTGACCAGGTAAAGCAGAAGCACGTGGCTTTCATGGATTAAACTCCTTCTCTTGTGCAGAACAGGTCAGTTGTTCTGCACCTGAGGGGAGAAGGAGCTCTAGGCTTTTTCATACCCAACCCACAGCCTGAGGGCAATGAAAAGCAGAAATCCTCCAGTCCAAAACCTACGTGTGGTGCCTCGGGACCATCACACCCAGCTGTGCACTCTGGAAACACCCCTGGTGAGTCTGGACAGCGAGCAGGCAGCTGGAGCTGCCCTGGCCTCATGCCCACAGGGACACACAGGGCAGTCCTGACAACCTTCCCTGCCTAACCACTGCCAAAGGTGTGGGATTTCAAATAAAACATGGAATCATACAATGGCTTGGGTTGGAAGGGACCTTAAATATCAACTAGGCTAACACCCCTGCAATCACAGCAATGCAAAGAAGAAGAAAAAGGGATGTTTCATCACGTCCTTTTCCAAGCACAAAGTTTTGGACACGCTAAGGCGACTGGTTTCCCAGAAAGCTGAAGCCACTTGACAGATAATGATTTTGTTAGCAGCCAAACTCCACAGCGAGTATGTCATCACCAGGCAGGGAAACGTATGAAGAAGATTAACAATTCAGAGTAATTCTTCCACGAGACACACAAGCCTGGTTTCCTGTCAGAAGGAATTGAGCCGAAGTAAGACAAAAGCGCCTCCCTCGTCTTTTTGGATCCCTCGTATTGTGTTGCCTTAATTGGTTGCACCCGCAGCCTCGACCCAACACAAATTTTGCTGGCACGTTGCTCCTCCACTGCTGCGAGGAGCAAACTTTGGGCCCCTCCAAGCCAAAGGGTGACACTGGTGGGAATGGTGTCCCATCGTGCTCTCTAGCAGGGCATGCTGGAACCCACGTGCATCATGGAAAACAGCCCGTGCCAGAACTGCACCTCGGTTTCCCACCCCATCACCCAGACTTGCAGATATTCCCACTTTGTCTGCTCTGCCAGTGCCGCAGATGTGCTGGTCGGGCTGGGGGTGATTCAAGGCCACCCTCCAAATGCAGACTAGTTAGAGCCCAACATTGTAATCCCTGCAGAGACGGAAACACCTAAACTGAGACTGTTCTTTTAAACTCAATAAGACCCTTGCTGTACCTGTAAACTAAGCAGGCTTGGGCGAAGTCCAGGGTGCCCGAATTTTGGGGTGGCAATGCCAGAAAAGAGAAGATCTCATTGGAGATGATTCACTCCGATCTCTAGGTCAGATCACTTCCCTTGTCCTGACTTAGCATCACATCTGCATACTGGCTTCCCTCTCAATTCCTGAGCTGTATTCCTCCAGGAACTCCTTCTGCTCAGACCTCAGTTAAACACACCTCTCTGGCCATTTTGGCCAAATAACGGGAGCCCTGTCATTTTCCAGGGGTTTCTCCCAAATGAACATTGCTTGCTCATCTGGAGATATCCTTGTACCTTCATCTACTGCCCACAGGAACATTTCTGAGGAATGTATAATACCCAGAAGCAATGGATCCAATTCTCCAAGGAAGCGGACGATGCTACACCATTGCAGTCTGCCACGTCTGATCAGCAGGCTTAGGGATTTTTACTAAGGCCTTGCAACACAAGGCTGTACTGACTCCAAGGGAACCAGTAGTCACTCTCTAAATTCACCTTTCTTTTTTTTTTTTTAAGGTTTTTTAATATACTGTAACATCACAGGTCACAAACAGCTCTGTAAAAGGCTTTATAAACCTGCTAGCTCACAACAGGCACTTCAAATCAAGTCTCGTACAGCTCCTGGATGTACTGGCACACTGCTACAAACAAATCCCAATACCATCATTACTTTTCATCTTCAGGCAATTCAAAGCCTCTCTTTTCCCCCAAAGTAGAAGGAAATGGAAAGCAGCATTAACCTTTCCTGTTAACCCCGTGTAAGGGCTCTTGAGTGTGATCAGAAATCTTCCAACTTTAGGAGGCTTTGCAAAAAATTCCCTGAGAAATCTTTTTGCTTGAATGACTGGGATTAGAGTCTTGTCCAAAGATTAGTGAAATTGGTGGGATTCTCCCTGTTTTCTCTGTTAGATTTTGGATCAAGCCTGCAAAAATCCCCACTCCATTTACATCTAGGAGCCTGCTGTCATGACCACATTCCGTGTCTGCTACTTCCCCACCTTGTCCCCTCACCAACACAAGTCCTGAATTCCCTCCCTGAGCCAAACACACCATCCAACACAAGGTACCCTACCTATCATCTCTCAGTCATCTTTTTAAAACTGTATGCCACAGGGTTTCTGGCTACCATCCAGTACTAACTCCCAGTAGAGATACAATCCTGCCCAAAGGGATCTGACCCAGAAGAATTTGGAATTTCAATTGGTCTGTCTTTCCAGCTCCTCTGGTTTACTCCATGATAGCCCTGGTCCTACCAGCCTATCTAGACCATATGGTTTTCTGATGGAGAGTGAGAGTCCCAACAGGATCTTTGAACCTTTTCTGATTCTTTTGGTCAGAATCCAACAAACGTTTTAAAATATATTCAATTATGCAGCGCTAATGCCTGAGAAGTGAGATCCAGTCCCAGCCTGGGATGCAATTAACATCTGAAACAGAGGATGTTCAGATCCATTTTGGATTCCTATTTATAGATCAAGCTTAAATCTAACATAAACATGTTGATTGGCTTTAACAAGTAATGCTCTGCCCCAGGCTAGAGACATGGCCCTGTACGAGCTGTAAAGAACATATTTCAAAACAAATTCAAGCCCTCATTATCTCTTAATTTGTCCTTGTTCAGTCAGTTCTGCTAACTTGTTTTTAAAGGACTTTCTTGCTTTAGTCAAGAAAGTAAAAGACTTCTGCAGGGGAAGAGATCTGTGAAATTATTCTCAGGCTTTGTTGTACATTTTAAGTCCCCTCCTTTCATCTGGAATTGTACATTAAATCAATCTGCTGACTCTTGGCAGATTCATTGTTTTCTTATACAGTAAATCAATGGTGCTACATTTCATTATGTTTTTCACAAGTTCTCGAAAGCACTTTTTCCTTTCTTTTGGATGAGATTTTTATACTTTTCTTTAGAACCAGAATTTATGTTCAATATTTAGCGTCTTGCCTTTTTCTTCTTCGCCCCCCCTTTTTTTTTTTTTTTTGCCTGCCTTGAAGCAGAGTCCACCTCGGGTAATTGCAGCATTTATCCCCTGCATGAGTAATCTCTCACGCTTGCTTTCTAATTACTGCCTGAACAAACTGAAGGCATCAGAGGTTCAGAAATTACCTCAGTCAGGTTACGTTTCCAAACCTTTACAACCAGAGGATTTAAAGAATCAAAAAATAAACCCTACCTAAACAGAGGAATCACAAAGGCCTATTCTGCTTACAGGCACAGCACAGCTCCTCTGGACAGCAATACAAGCAAGACCAAGCCCATGCTGCCCCTAAAAAGCACCATGCCAGAGTTGGTGTTAAGCTGCTGACAGTGCTGCAACAATTATGCACAGACATCTTGTAAATATGCAAGAAAACAGCTAACTATGGTTATTTATGCATGCAATAAACAGTTATGAAAGGCAAAGGAAATGTGCAATTGCCTGTGCATGTACTTCTGAAAACCAGGCTTCAGTGCTCAGTGGAAAAGCAATTCTCTCTAGGCTCCTATTTATGGCAAGAGGAAATTTTCAGTGAATTAAATCAAATTAAGAGCTATCCCTTTATGCTGAACAAAATGAATAGGAAATATATATACTGATGCAGGGCACAGAATTCATCCTCAGCCCGAGAGCCTGGGTAACCCTGTCCTTTTCCAGGCCAGCTCTAGGTGTCACTGTGGGAGCTGGATGTGATGCTCCTTCCCATCCATGGAATTGTTCCATTTAAACTTTAACATCAAGAAAATGTCACCTTGGTGCTCCCTGCTCTTGGGAATTGCTTCTGTCACCGTTTTCATTTTAAAATACCACTGCACGTTTCAGAGTCATGTGAGTGGTTCTAATAGACATGGGAGATCAATCTGGTCACCACTCTCCCCCATAAATAATGCAAGCTGAGCAGAGAAATCACAGTGTGGCCAAGAAGGCTGTTTTGCTGCAGTTTGGATCTAATTACTGTGGGTATCAAGCAAAGCATCTAATTCTATTAGAGCCAAACTAAATCTGAATACTGGGAAGAAACTGGATAAAGCAATATCCCATTTCATCTAATGCATGTAACCCTGTATATTTAATTGTCCTGCTTGCTAAAAGATGCCTGAAGACTGGGCACTGTAAAGGTTTCAATTTATTTTATACTCCTAAGCTGATATCTTCCCAGCTGCCTTAGAGGAAAAAAAAAACAACAAAAAACTCAGCAAAAATGGACCATAAGGAAAAAAACAAGACTAATTAGAAGATATGCAGGAGTTTGCAAAGAATGTAACAGACCTATAAATGTCCTTTGGTCAAATATATTACTCTTTATTAATCAGCTTAAATGCTTTTGAATCCCTGTGCTGCTCTGCAGTAAAGCTGAAAACTGGCAGGGATTACATTAAAACATGTATTTTTAAACACTCAAAGAATTTGGAACATAAAATAAGAGATGCTGCATTGTGTAATAAATAATAAAAAAAGAAAGTATATTAACCTCCAGTCTCATCTTAAAAAATGTTAACAATATGTTCTTTCTTTTGTTGCAACCTGACAAAGCTCCTGAACCCCCACAGGCACAGACAATGAATGCTCCCACCAAAATTCAGATCCTGGCATCTCTACGTCAGCAAAAGTCCCCTTTCCATTTCCATACACTTGATTTTAAACTGGGATTTATGTGTAGGAATCATTCTCTGTCAGTTACCACAGTGGCCAACACCAACACCAAATGTACCTCGCGGTTTAATTTATGGAAATTATACTGATTCATTGCTAGAAACCATGGCTCTGTGTTTTTGTTAGAGGCCTGAGAGGCCCTACCATGCTTTTAAGAGCCTTGTTCAAACATTAACAGAGACAATCCCAAAGGGAATAGCTAATAGCAACCATAAATCTTCCTCTGTGGTCCCATGGCCCTTTCCCCTCGTTGATCTGAAAGCTCTATCAAAATCAGAATTAATGGAAACCCCATGACACATCTATATGACACATTAGGTGAAACCACGGCCCCAGGGAAGCAAATGGCAAAACTTCCACTTACGTCACCAGGGTCAGGATTTCACTCCTATGTTTTATGAGGATAGTGTTTTGCTGCTAGGATAATTGAAGCACAGACTGGTGAAGCCACATGCCCAGAAGCACAAGTGAAGACCAAGCCCGGATGATCAAGTGAAGAGTGAGTACTAAACTATTATTTCTCGCTCCTACCTTCATTTTTCTCCCACCAGCTTCTATGTCCCTACATCAACTTTAGCCATCCCACTGCTCTGAAGAAGTGACAGACTTCGTGGCTCAAACACTGCCAAGTTTGCTGCAAACACTGCTCTCCTCCTGCACAGACAACACAGCTGAGCTCTGAAGGGTTGAGTAGGTAAGCAGAGATCGATACACTCAGCAGCCATGCAGTACAAAACACTGCTACAGCCAGTGCACTTGGTGCAAGCCTCAAGAGATGGGCCAGGAGATGACTTGGCTGAGCATCACCTCTGCACAGTGCTGAGGACACTGTGCCTGGGCTCTGCTGCTCACTGTGGGGACAGGAAAGGGCACAGACTGCATCTTTCCCTCCTCAATGGATGTGCCCAAAGAGCAACGTCCACACGTGTTACAAAGTGCTGGCTCAATCCCCATTTGCACGTGTCACTAATGTTCCAAAAATCACTTGGTATTGAGGGGTGAGGTCAGGAAAGGTGAGGGCTGTTATCAAGGAGAAAACCATCCAGGCCATGTCCATACAGAGACTGCTGCTACCTGCAGTGTCACCTCTGCACTAGGGAAGGGAAAACACATGGTTTAATTGTCAAACCCAACCTCCTTAATGAATCACTCCAATCCAGACTTTTGGGGACAGAAAAGCCAGCACAGGTTAATAAATGAGTCCACGTTTGTCATCTTTCATGAGTTACGTGTCCACTGGACCCTTGAATTCAACACATGGGATGGCATCTGGATACCACAAAGTGCTTTATTCAAAATGCTGCCCCAGCAGAGCAGCGTGCTGAGCACAGCCACCAGGCAGCAAGATTCATGGAGGCAAAGCTCTCCTGTAGCATCCTGCATTTTACATCTACTCCATCCCAACCAGCTAAATCAGCCCACTCTTGATGACCAAGGATCTCCTTTATTCCTGCTCAGCAGCCACTGTGATTCACACAATGGAAAATGTAAACCTTAGGGCTGCTTGAGCTATTCTTGCCCAGGCCATTTCCTGCTGAAGCTGGGGAAATTTTTGCCTTGCAGGGTTAAAGACCTGCTGACCTCATCCCACAGTGCCAACACACCATCAGCACTTTTACAGAGCTCCTGCTATTTCATCCCTCTGAAAGGGACTTTGCAACTTTGTGGTCAGCACAAGTAACTTCATTTTCTGCGTGGTGGATGGAAACCACTGCCTGTGTTGCAGCTCCCTACCTCTGGAAACCACGGGGTGTGCATTTGTTTAGTATCCCAGGGCTGTCATTTGGGGCTGTGTCATTTTTTTTCCCCCGTGCAGCTACGCGGCTAAATTCAAGGAGACACACGTTGCCATTAAACGACCCTGGAGAAAAGCCCCGAACTGTGTCACCTTGTTTAACCAGAGCCAAAGGTTGACACGGGCACATCCCCGTCGTGGATTTACAAGCCGAACAAACAGAGCTGAACTCTGCTCAGCAGGAGGCTGGCTCGCCTGGAGCTCCCTGCGCGATGCCCAGGGAAGCTGCAGCTCCGGCAGCCGCAGAGCCCCGCGGTGCCGGATGCTCCCGCGGCCATCACTGCAGGGCTGCAGGTCAGCCGCCTCTCCTTCCTCGGGAACACGAGGCTGTGCCAGACACAGCCTTTTCAATAATAACCAGCCAATAATACAAATCCAGCTCGTGCAAGATGCTATCTGCTTTTTGCCATCCTTTTTTTTTTTTTATTATCGTATTTATTTTAAATAACCGAATAGGGCACTTTCAGCCTCATTGTGACTGAAAGATCTCTAAAGTGAATGGGGTTTGCCTTGCTGGCAGACTTGGCAATTATTCAGGTCATACAGAGCTGGCAATATCTCCTTATGTTTAACAGGGAAAATGAGCAGAGAAGTAAGGAAGCAATGTTGTAGGGACACTGGAGAGAAGCCATGCAAAATATTTATATTCAAACGATGAGATCCTAAACAAAGAGCAAATAATAATAAACAAATAACATATATCCAAACATACCAACACTGGTTATCTTTTGGGAGACAAGGTCTTGTAGTAAAGCCTCAATTGCAGGATTATGTCTGGAATACAACTCGTACCGATTAATGCCAATGTGGAATTTTAACCAGTTTGGGTAGGAGTCTATGGAGGTTTCTCCTGTTGGCAAAAATTCTTCATGATGATCTTCATTTTGCCTACCACCAAAAAAAAAAAAAAAAGAAAAAACACAAGACCCAAAAATTGAGGAGAAAGAAATAATGTTACAGTTTGTAACATACATCAAGAAACAGGGCTTTAGAATGTGACAACTTGGAAAGGCAAAGCACTACAGAGGGGAGAGAGGTCCCAGGTTTCTCCCTGCACCAGCTCCATGCCAGGAGCAGGCTCCCACCTGGGGTCAATGGGGAGATGGATTCTCACCTCCACTCATCCTGCCTGACTGAAAGGCCACCAAAGTCAGGAGCAAAACTCAAGAGTGACATCACTGAGTGTTGGCAGAGCCCCTTATATAGCAGAAACACAGAGCTCAAGTTTTACCTTGTGTTTAGCTTGTATCATGTTACACAGAGTTTTTACAGGTCTGACTCAAAGGAGAGCATCATCCTGAATCTTTATTTGACAGGGACATGGAGCTGGGAACCCCGAGTCCAGCAGCAACCTGACCTGTGGTACCCAATGCTCCCACTCTCTCTCTTCTTTCTTAAATAGAGAGAATGAGAAGAAACTGGATTGCTCAGAACTGGTTGCTGAAGAACTGGCTGGTTTTGCCCCTTCCCTAGCAGTGGGATATTTCTACAGCAAGGAATTGTTTAATGACTATTACCTTCTAAATTTCATGTTAGTTCTGTGAACTTTGGCTGCAGCCACTACGGAAAATAAGTACAACAGGCAGCTGCATTGTGAACATCAATGATGATTTCACTGTTCACCTACTGAACAGACTATCCCATATTTTCTATCCAGAGTTTTCTGTGTTTACAGTCATCTCCAGATGTTCAGGCATTTGTGACTTTTTTTTTCTCTTTTACTCTCAGAGCAATCAGAACTTTTTCAGGTTATTTCCCTTCACAGTCAGTTAGGATTATTAGATGGAAGAGGCCTGGACAATTCACATGCTCATGGGGCGGAAATCAGAATTATTTATCCTCTCTTTCTAAAGGTTTAGATCATGCTGGCTGCTCTGCAGCTTGACAGAGCTTTTGCACGGTACAATGCAGCTGTTTAAACATTACAATGTCAGTGTGTTTGGAAGAGGGTGCTGTTGTATTAGACAACCCTTTTGATTTTTCAGTCATTGAAATTTCTCGGCATTTCTTAGGAGCCAACAGGGCATACGATTCACAGAGGCAACTGGCTGCTTTGAAGGCTGGAGAGCAGCGGAGGTGTAGGGCACTGGGAATTAATTGAGGATGAAAAATGTAGCACAGATCTGATCCCGAGAGTGGAAATACCTGCCAGGATGAATGCCTTTGTGGTACTAGACCTTGCTTTTGAGAAAAGTTAATGTATTACTGCCTGGCCTCACTGCTCAGCCCCTTCACCTCTGGATAGGAAACTGGGAAGGTGGGAAGGTGCTGGAGAATAAAGCTCACTATGAGCTCACCCTCACAGCGTTGTTCTTGCAACATCTCCCTCTACTACAGCTGGAGATGGGGCAGACGGACCCTTCGGCCCCAGCGCTCCAGCCTTCTCGTGCTCCTGTGTTTATTCTGTATATCATGGCATTTAATTTTTGAAGGAACACGACCGGCCGAGCCTGCGAATGGTTTCCCTTTTTTCCCAGTGACCCCGAGTCGCTCAGTTTAACCCTCCACCCACTCCAAACCAGCCAGGACACCTCTCCTCGCCAGTGCCCGGCTAAACCCCGCGCTACCCAGCGCAGGGCAGCGACCCGAGGACACGCCGCTTTCCCACTGGGGCACAACCGGAGCCCCGTGCGTCCCCCCCCCCGGGGGCACTCACCACTCGGGCTGCTCGGCCGCCCGCGGGTTGAACCTGATGTCGCTGTTGACATTGAAGAGCAGGTCGCCGTCGGCCAGCGGGGGCAGGGCGGCGCGGTACAGCGGGTGCTCGAAGAGGGCGGCCAGCGGGGCGGCGGCGGCGGCGGCGGCGGGGGGCGGCGGGCGCGGCGCCCCGGGGCCGATCAGCCGCCGCGTCCTCCCCGCCGCCGCCGCCGCCCCCGCGCCGCCTCCAGCGCCTCCACCGCCCGCCGCCCGCTCCGCCGCCGCCTCCCGCGACTGCGAGGAGAGGTTGGAGGCCGGCTCGGCGCTGAAGTCCTGCAGGATCCGCAGCGTGTGCTTGCTGGGCCAGCGCGGGGCGGCGCGGGGCGGCGCGGCGGCGGCGGGCGGCGGGCAGGAACAGCCCGGGCGGCCCTCGGGCCCGCGGCGCTCCAGCCGCGGCAGCAGGTCGATCATGATGTGCATGGTGCAGGCGACGAGGAACACCATCAGGATCAGCACCCGGAACTTGCGGACCAGGAGCATTTTCATGGCCGGGGCGGCTGATGAATTACCGGGGGAAGGGGGAGGGAGGGGAGGCGGCGGCGGAGAGAGCCCGGGCGGGCGCGGGGCTGCCGGGCCCCCCCCGGGGCTCCGGGTTGCTCCTCTCGGGTCGGGAAGCGAGCGATCAAGTCAATAAAGTTACCTCCATAGGCGCCGAGAAATAAACAGGCTAAACCCGATAGGTCCTCATTTCTCAGTATCATCAAGAACTTGGGAGGGGGAGGGAAAAAAAAAGAATAAAAGAAAAAAAATAATAAAAAAAATGGAGCTCCGGACTGAGCCTTTAAAATCAACGGGAAAACAATGCCAGCGGCATGGCAATATAGAAAGCCATCTGTTCACGATTTCTCCTTTTTATTACAGGGATCACAACAAATACCGAGAACTGACTCTTGGAGAGAAACCGGCATCAGACACTGGCGTTGATTAAATAAAATTTAAAAAAAAAATACGGGGAGGAGGAGGGGGGAAAGAAAAATATTAAGAAAACCTGTGCGGAAAGGCGACAGAAGAAAAAAAATCATCCATAATATTTGACTGCGCTGGAAACGCTGACTCCCTTCCCTTGGATTTGAGCAGTGATGCAGCAGAAGCGCTCTCCGCTCGCTCTCGCTCCCTCTCTTCTCTCAGACTCTTTAAGAACACTGGCTGGAAAATCATTTTCTTAGAGCAGTTCCAGTTTCTTCGTCCATCGCGTCCGGTGCTTGGGAGAGATTAGTATGTTCAACTGAGATCGAGTCTGGGTGGCTGCTGTATCCGAGCTGGGCTTTTGCTTTGGCTTGTGTTGGTTTTTTTTGGCTGCAAAACTGTCTGATGGCACAACTGCAACATAAAGGTTAAATATGGCACAGAAAAAAAAAGAGGGGGGAGAAGGAAGGATTAGAGGAAAGAAACTAATATAAATCAGTAGAGGTTCTTTTTAGCGAAGAGGTCTTTGATCTCTGCTGGGTCTTACAGATCTGCCTTTTAGAGAGAGAGAGAAAGGAAGAGAGAAGGGGAGAGAGAAGGAAAGGGGGGGGGAGATCTTTGGCAGGTGCAGAGTGAAAACCTCTTTCAGCTACACTGAATTCTGGAGACTGGTTGGACTAGTAGCTCTGCAGCTCCAGCTTTCAGTGGGTGTGTTAAATATTATGAGCGAGCCATGATTCCTGCCTTCCTCACGTCATAGTTAGGAGATTGGCTAAATAAACGCTACAGTGATAGTAACAGGAAAACCTCAACCAAAAGCGGGTTTTTTTTTCCCCTCCTCTCCTCCCTTCTTCCCACCCCCCTTTTCATTCTACTGCAGCTCCAACTGGGGCAAGGAGAGGGCGTCTGTTCCACAAAGGTTTGGGAAAAAAATATATAGGAAAAAAAAAAACTCGTAGAGGAGAGAGGAATCTGCACTAACAGCACTGCGAAGCTGGAGCGCGGTCCGTGCCCTGCTGGGATCAGCGATTCTGCTCCGTCATTGCCCGGGCTGGAAGTGGCGCATCGCCCGCTCCCCTCGCCCCCAGCCCCGGCAAGGTCAGCCCGTCAAACCATGTGCTCCGCTCCCTCCCGAGGAGCAGCCTTTCCTTCTAATCCGCGATCCTGCGGGCTGTGATAATCCGGGAGCGTGCTGCCCTCTCTCCTGCTGCGTTTGCTGCGCAGTTGGCTCCGTGTCTGGGTGGCCTAAAGGCTAATGGAAGTGGTGGTCTTGGGGCCAGGACAGCCCAAGGAGTGCTGTTGACGTTTGTCTAAGGTTGAGGGCACTCTGGAGGAAGGAACAAGCTACTCCTGATCTTCAGATGATCAGGCAGGGATGCTCAGAGCTGATGATTTTTGCTTTTGGGCAGGGGTCTGCCTGGATTTTATGGTCCATAGCAGGGCTCAAATGATAGTCAAGTGGGGCTGCAGGAGAAATGAAAAAGGTAATGTTCTTTCTCCAACCCACTGCCACCTTTCCACAGAATCATCTCAATGCTGAATGTGCTGGTCTGTTTTTCCCCTGCATTAAGCAGCATTAAAGTATTTATTTTTCTTAAAAGATATTCCCCCACCTGACAGGCTTCATCCAGCACTGTTCCCTCACTAGGTGTTTCTGCAAAGCCCTGTGCTCTGCACTCCTCTGAAGCACACCCATGCAATGTTACAATGTTTTGCACAAGGGAAATCACTGCTTTTCCAACAGGAAAAGAAGATTGATGAAAAAAAAAGACTGGACAGGGCCATGATCCTATGGACTGCTCTGTACCTTGAGTAGAAACACTTGCTGCCCTAGGGGGACCTTGTAGTCCCAGAGGTACAGCTCCCTGTAGATGCAACACTTTGATTCCCATGGAAGCCATTATGTCACTCTGGATCCTTCAAATATAGATGTACTTAATTGCAGCAAAATATTTTGCTACAGAGCCAGAAGCAAGGCTTTCCATCTTTTTGCACTTTTTTCACCAAAATCAGCTTAGGCTTTGTGGACAGCTGACTCTGCAGACAGTGACAATGGTTCCTTGTTGTCACTGCCTCCCACTGCTGCTAAATAGCAAGTCTGTATGGTCCTGCTTGGGAAATCGAGTTTGGTTCATAAGTTAACTACCTCCCCATGCAGTGAGCTAACATTCAGCTTATTTTAATCTAGTTTAGGAAGTTGGCATTTTAGGCCCATCAGGAAGAGCCTTGAAGTTTTGGTTCGGCTGGAGAACCTACAGCTGCTGGGAGGGGATATGAGATGTGATGGGTGCAGTATGAATGACATGTGGAAGACTATCTGTTTCATTTTGGGGTTCTTTTTTTGCCTGCCTGTGGCTGTAGCCTTTCTCCTGCTGCTGTCTCGTAGGGAAATCAGCTGAACTGAGTTATCAATCAAGCCCAAGGGTACAAAAGGGGGCAGGTGGATGCTCAATCCTGTGCCTTGGGGAGTGGAGCGATGGAGGAAGGCAGCCAAAGGCAGTGCTCTGGAAAGAGTGAGTAAAGGGCATGTGTTGCTTGTGTTACACTCTTTGCTGTGACTTTTTAAAAGAGATCTGAGTGAGATGTGTGTGAGGATAGATAATATGGCACATTATCTGCTTTAGTATGGCACATTATCTGCTTTAGTATGGCACAGTGGGGTTTGTAGGCTGCAGGTTGTAGCTACATGGTTGGTTTTTTTTTAGTGTTTGCCCTACTAAAACTGAGGACTGTAGTATTAGACTTATGATGAAGATAAAGTTGCAAATTACTTAAATGAGTTCTTTAAGATAAAGTTGTTTGAATACATCTATTACTTTGCAGTAACAGAACATTGTGTCAAATGTGTTGTAACTCCATGTTCAAGAGTTATATAACAAAAGTGAGATTACCTTTGAAATACAATATAAGCAACTAAATGCAATTAATTACATGACTTTCAAAAGGTGAAATAACAGTACTGTGAACAAGTAACTGATTCCGTGAAACTATATTTTTTTGTTCTCATCAATGTGACCTTTGGTGCTTATTGGCTATTCAGTTAAGTATGGTTTCCTCTAAGCTGTGTCTGCCTGAGAACTCAATCTCCCTAACTCTCCTCTAGGAGCTGTTTGTTCCTTAAGCCTTTTAGATATTTGAGTTTTATCTAAAGATGGGAGACTGGTGGATGTACCCTGTTCCCTTCTGTACATGACCTTTGTGGACAAGTTTTGCTGCAACAAAAATGCCCTAGAGATGTGAATAAAAGAGGACTATCTTATCTGTGCATTTCTCACCTCGCCTTCTTTCTTCTCTCTTTTTTTTTTCTTTTTTCTTTTTTTTTTTTTGTGGGGTGCAGAAGAACTGAGTCTCACTTTTTTTGAAATTATATTTGCTACTTTGTAAATAGCATCCATACACTAGCAAAGGCAAAAATGCTGAAAATGTTGAAACAGCAAATGTCACCAGCAAGGGGTGGCTTGTGGTGAGGAAGCCACAGATTGTTGATGTATGAAGCCATTGGGATATGTCAGGAGCTGGGCTGCAGGTCAGGATAGCCTGGAAATTGGGCAAGAGGTACAAGAGAAGGGGCAGGCAGACTCAGGGACCAGGTCTAAGGTATTCCAAGGCTAGTGCAGCTTCCCAGGACAACCTCATTGCTGACCCTCTGCAAGTGTGAGCTTGGTGCTTTTGTGTTTGTGCTGGGATGTGGGGTGTATGTGACCGACCCTTGGTAGGAAAAGGTTCCCTTTTCCTGCTGTAAAGGAAGAAACGAGGATTTGTTTCCAACCAGCTGGATTTCGGCCCTATCTCCCTGTCTATGTACCATGTTGCCCTGGCCCCTTAGCTTTCAGTGCAAGTGCAATATTTGCATGCAGGTTACCTCCCATGCTTCAAACATTTGCCTTCAAGACTTGAATAGATGAGAAAAGAAAAATTTCTGTTAACCTGATGACTGTTGTTCAAGGTTTTCTTCAAGTAAGCTTCTAAGCAGCAAACCTGTATGTGTAGAGCCACAGGGTCTTTGTAATAATGCCTGATGGGGTAATTTAAGAAGTTAGTTGTTTATTATTTTACTTCCCGAGGTCTTGGTCTCAGTAAGGAAAATATAAATATTTCTCCTTAACTAAACTCTGTGCTTTCATATGGAATTCCAGTATGTGGCAAAGAGCTTTTCATTTCTGCTGTGCTGTGTGTTGGACCAGCATTACCCCCATAATTGCTGGCATTATGTAAACAAGGACATAATAAGTTCTTAATGGAATATTATTACATTAATAAATCACTGCATACAGCTCATTTCAATAATTTAAATGAAATCGAGTCCCTTACATAGACTCTTTATTTTCTTTTTGGTCATTGAATTAAAATCTTTCCCCTGTTTTATTGAAGTATTTGAATGTCATTGGGAATTTCACAATGAATTGCTACAATCACAAGCCAAGATTGCTTTAGATCTAACAGGCTTTTTAATGTGGTATTACAAATTAACACTAAGCACTTCTTTACGTGTTCTACCTTTGCTTTTATTTAACAATACAATCAAGAATTCGGGGGGTGGGGTTATTGTCGTATATCCTGGCATTTCCTCATTGTTTTGTGTGAGAATTAGTAGCTTATCTGCTGCTGAAATCTGTGTAGATGTTTATTTTCCCTGGTTTTGTCTGCTTGCCTCGCTGAGCAGCCACAATGGTCAGGGTACGTGATAGTGTATTCAGGTAAATAAATGAAGCATGGGTTGGGGTGAGTAAACACACCCAGCTATTATTTGCTGTTATAACGGTTTACAGCCTTCTGATGTAAAGCCTGAATGCAGCAGGGCAAGCTGTAAGTCAGGCCTGATTGCACATTTTCAATCAGTGTAATATTTTTATTGTTGCTTCTAATAGAAAAATGGATTTTCCTTTCTGAAAGCCTCCATCTATGGTGCTGGAGGTCCTGAGGGCATTACATGCCTTGCCTGGCCCCTGTGGTGATGCTGCCTAGGGTGCTTTTCCTGCTCTGCCTCTCTTTCCTCCCTCTGAAGATTCATGTGCTGACCTAATTTATTGGTGCTTTGCCTTATAAACACAAATCACACTGGCAATCTAGTGGGTACTGCATATTAACCTCCCACACTGCCAAAATCACTTCTATTGCTAAGGAATATACTTGGTACTGAACAGGAGGTAATTCTGTAAGCTTGATGTCACTGTTAATGTTTTTTGTGTATAAGGAATCAGTGATACATGTTTGAAGTGGTGTGCTCATATTTTTTTTTTTTAATAATGCATACTAATATTGTTTTGGTTGCCTTCTGGCCCAGGATTTTGTTAGGTATTTGATATTTTTTTGAACAACTGCTGACCAAATCTCCACCCCCCCCAATTCAAAGAGGCAGCGTGGCGACCTGCTCTTTCCCATGATGGTTTTTCTAAGGTTGACTGGAGGGGCACTGAGCTGCAAGCCTGAGATAAATAGTGCTGAAAGTAGGGACATGTGATGGGCTGCCCATTACCAGCAGGCCTGGCTGGTACTGCCAAATCATCAGAGCTGGGCACAGGGGGGCTTGTCCTGGAAATTCATCACCAGCCTCAACTGATTTCAGAAAGCTTCTAACTCCAGCCTTTTGCTTTGAAGTGTTCCCATTCTTTAATTTGGGATACAATATTCTGGATTATCTAAACCCTAAGGGATTTCTTGATAAACCTGTTGAAAGCACTGAACTCATTATTATATTAAGGCAAGGGAATGGGAGGCTTTTCCCTGCCTGTTTGTTACTCCTCAGCTGTTGCTGCTGCAGATCAAGGGTTGGCTCCTCAGCTGGGATCAGCTGGCCCCCATTTCAATGAAATGCCATCTAATTATATCAGCTGAGGATCTGGTCCAC